TTCAGAAGGTAGGAAGCAGTAAAGTATGCCATAAAAACAGGAAGATCCGAGTTATTTTCAAGACGAGTATGCCCATGCGGCTACTTCTTCGTGAAGCGAAAAATTTTAATATTTCAGAATTTTGTAGCAAAAACCATCGTTTAAGCCGAAATTTCGAGTGAAAAACAAGTTGGTTTCTTCAACTTGCCATATAGAACTTCATGTTTTTCGCCGATATCTCAACGATAGTTGTCGATTATTATTATAGGAAGATCATTCCCTGACTTCCATTTCCACTCAGGACACCTCTGAAAGATGTTTGTGAAAATATCTCTGTGAGATACTTTATAGATTCAAAACAATATTATCCATTTTGGTGGCTAATAATAAATAATTTTCAATTATTGGGGGGGGGGGGGGTACATTCCCCACACCCCCCCCCCCCCCACTTTCGCGGGTCCTGACTGTTCCTTTGACATCCTAATTCTCACTAAATCTGGGTGTGGGTGTGGGTGTGGCTATCGATGGAGATATACACCCACATCCCACCCACACCCATACCCCACAGCCACACCCACCACAGCCACACCCCACAGCCACACCCCACACCCACATCCACACCCACCCACACCCACACCCCACACCCACATCCACACCCACACACCCACACCCCACACCCGTGCACCGTTCTGTTATACATTTACAACTAACATTTCTCTCTATAATAATTAGACAGACTTGTTTATACTTTCTAATTTGATATTCTTTTCTTTCATATCTGTAAAATTGATTAGAGTCAATCCAACTGTGAAAGAAAACATTTCAACTTCTCTTCTTGATCTTTTCTTCTTGGTTTTTTTCCCGATACACTATTGATCCAGAGAAAAAAAAACTGAAATCAAGGCATTCCTATCGATTGATTTGATTTCGGTCTCTGTTTCAGATGTTCAAGTTTGTGTAAATTTGAAATGATGTGTTCTAATCAATCAGCTCTGATATGAGTTAACGTTAATGATTGCAGATGAGTAAATTGTTCAATTTCAAAGTGGTCAAGGAAAAGTTTTGTTTGACAAGATGTAGTATATCATCATCAGAAATTGTGAAAGAGATGACACACGAGATCAAAATCATGTTTGTGGATATCAGTCAAGTCCATGCGAGAGTTCAAATATGTGAGTATGGCAGTATCCTAATAAGGATTGACATTTGAAAAACTGAGAAGAATCGCGTGTGCTAATAAATAATTATATAGATTATTTCAATGAGAAATGCATCACAAAAACAACGAGCCATGAATATATTTTTGGAAACCACTAAAATACCAAAAAAAAGTGAGTTGAGCGAATAAAATTTGCATTTGATAAGCAGGTTCATCTTCATTTGGTTATCTCATGCATTGACATAGAATCAATATTGAGAAGTATGTTGGTATGGGAGATAACGTTTGTGTGAATAAATTAACTCTCTGATAGGCTTGTCATCTGAGTTTCAAATTGTACCTCTCCTTGGTTTGATTCTTCCCGTAGCAAGTTCGAATAGTCACTGTCCGTGTTTCAAGTATAACTTGGTGAGTTCTATCACATATCAGCATAAGTTTCATGATATTTCGAAATCTAGCCAAATAAAAGCCCCTTAATTCGAATTTTCATTCAGAGAATCAACCTCTAACTTATTTGAGTTCTGAGTGATGCTCACAAGATTGTTTCGATAAGTATATGAACGGATTGAAAATAAATGTTCATCGTCGTTAATTGATGCTGGTTGGTGTACCATATTCAACTTCATGGACTATTATAACTGATATTTTCAGAGATATGTCTATTTTCAGACACGTTCAATTAAAATGTTGGTATTAAAAATAATTATTAATGAATGCATATGATATTTCATTCGAGAGAAATTCAACGGACGATGACATTGTTTTTCTCGAGCACACAAATGTTTATGATGTAATAGAATGCTCCATAACCGATCACTAATAGAGCAGATAGTTTTGGATTAGCAAATTGAAATAATGACATAGGTGACGACATAGTTACTGGTACTGTTTCATCATTATACGTTCGCTCATAGCCACACCCATATCCCATTTGGAACATAGACACGTTAAATCAATCTCGAGAATAACTGTTTTTCTTTTAAACAACATATCGAGTATATCACAGCCGAAAAATAATTACTAATCGGGTCTTAAAGTAGTTTTTACTTGATTAATTGTTTCTAATTTCGATTAATATTTTGTATCGAAAAAAGTTCCATAGAAAATTTACATGATAATTTCTTTTCTACCGTTGAATGTTTATTTTTCTCAGTGAGTCGTTTTTTTGATTCCTCAAGTGAAAATAAAGAAAAAATAACTTGGTGACTTGTATTTTATTATTTTTTCATAGTTAAACAAATGAGTATACAAAAAAAATGACATTCATGTTTGTAGAGATAACAATTATCTATTTCACTTAAACGAACCACATCGTATCCTGTATATTGTTATTCAGTATCATCACGTTTGTTCGTATATCTTCAAGTGAGATGGGTTCCGGTGCATTTTGATTGTCCTCACTAAAAACAAAAAAAGAGTAGAGTTAGAAAATTAGAAACTAGTCATTGCTATAACTGCTTTTACTTTTCCAAGATTTCATCACCATCATGGTCGAATTCGTATACATGGGAAGCATATGCAGCTAAATGAGCATAATGTACTGGAGCTGGAATGGAAACTGACTTCGAACATCGAGCATCAGTATGACAGAGCTAAATAAGAAAAAAAATAATGTATAATATTTCCTGTTCATCGAATAAATTTTGAGAAAATCAAATTTCCATACCCAGTATGTTAATTGTTGAATATCGTTACTACTAAATCCATTTTCATCATGAAGTACATGATACAGTGCTGGACGTGATGTTCCCATTCTTTTAAATAGAAAAAAAAAGTAGATCGATATTACGATATAAAAATTGAGAAAACTTACATAGCAGCTTGTGAACATAAGTAAAAATCAAATTCAGATGGGTGTGTTATATCAACATCAATAACAGTACCCGCTTCAACATTGTCTGTTCGTTGACCATCGTAAGTAAAGAAACGTGTATTATGTCGTTTCTTAACAATGATAAAGGTTAATCGAGGCAGTGGGTTCTGTCCATATACAACTATTTTCAACAGAAAAATACATTTTTTGTTGTTCAAATAATAGCAAGAAATGTTTTTTTTTTGTTTACCTCGGCAAGCATCTTTGATTTTTTTAACTTCATTATCTAATACTTTTTGAAACTGTCCGTCATCGACACCATCGCGATAAAAGACGATTCGATTTGGTAGTGTGTTACCACATGAACGAGCATATACGCGAAGTAAATCGATGACCATCTTATCCATCTCTTTAATAATTTCAATTGAACAACGATCTTTCTTTGGATATTCTATAATCATAAAGATATTGTTTTTATGAACGAAGATTTAACTAAAATATTTACGTTCACAAAGACGAACTGCATAACGGCTACATGTTGGATCACATGATCCAACAATGGCAGCAATCGATGGTCTTTCTTTCGATGAAGTTGTGTGAGTTACCTAAAATAATTATAATATTTATTTATCCAAAGTAAGTTCAATGAATTTTGAAGATATAAATACTAACATCAACACCGAAAAACATGAAACGATCATTATTCGATGCTTGATTAAGAGCAGCTTTTAGATTAACGATACCATTGATGCCACCGATCTTAGCATTCAATTTTTGACTTAAATTTTCTACATCTGAAAAATAAAAGTTATTATCATTAAGCAAATCTAGTAGAAAAAAAAAATATCATCACATACACATATGAAGTTTTTCGGAATTTCTTTGTATAGCTTGAAAACTAGCACATTGAGTTATTAAACCAATTTTTTGATTTCCTAATTTTTTAACATAATTATAAACTTCCGGTACCGTGTCATTTAAGATGACAATCGCCAATTGCCAATCTTGACTCTTAACATGTGTGAATGTTTGGTCAATGTCATCTTTGCGACTTGGCTTAGCTATGGTCAACGGATTTGAATTGATTCCAATACCGTATCTCATTAGTAACTGTTAGAATTAGAAATAAAATTCTGATATTTCGATCATTCCATTAAAATGCTTAACTCACCGATGGTAATTGTTTCTCGAAATTTTTTAGAATTCCGATTATATTGTTGTCAGGTTTCGAGCCAAAATAAATCATACCCCATTTATTGATCACCGATGTTGAACGAAATTGATTTCGAATTTTCCATTTCCCAAATGCAACATGTTCAACAACTTCTTGATTATTTTGTGCTCGATATTTTATTTGGGGTGG